GGGTTAGGTCGGGGGGATGAGGCCTCCTCTTGGGTATGAGCAAGCATTGGACCGTAGCTGGGCAAGAGAGCAGTCGGCCAGGCACTCAGGCAGCAGATCTAGAACTGCGGGACGGGCAGAAGAGCAGGGAGGAGGGGGGAGCAAGAGGAAGGGAGCTGGGCATCCACAGACCAGCAGCAGTGATGTGACCACAGATGCAGGACACAGAACTCACTGTGCCACCCTTCTCTGACTTCGCCTAGAGTTTGCACCAGCCCCTTTGACACTGCCAGGGGGTGCGGCCCCACCCCAGCTGAGTTCACTGAGGAGATTCAAGGACAAGGCTGGACATGCAGATCTTCCAGGGCCTCTCAGAGGTCAAGGGGGTCCCTGGCTGTCCCAGTAGATTAAAAAGAAAATTAAGAAAAGCCCCAACAGGGCCACAAAATTGTCATGCATGCATCTAAATATTTAGATGGAATAAATTAACACTTTTAGCACTACAAAATACAGTGAATATATATGTGTGGGCCCCAAGAGATTAACAGGATTCGTTAAAAATCTTAATTCTTGGTGCACTGTAGGTTTGCTGCCTTGTAAAAGAGCACATTTTAAAGTTGTAAGATTCTTTATAAAATTTTCAATATTGCCAGTGAATGAGCATGATTGTGGATATAATGTCATTTAAAGACAATGGCAACAAGCTAAACATGAGGTCCTTTGGGACTTCAGGGCTTCGGCTCTTTAACTCTCCTGACACTCCCCCCCCCAGCTGACCCCCCACACACACTCACAGGACCTGGACACGGCAGATGGACACTTTCCTGTGTATTTTAGAAACACAGAGCTCTCCTTCCTTACCTGGATGCCCCCAGTGCCTAGCAAGGCTGGAGGACTGTGTTTGCAAAGTGAATGAGCACCTGTACCCTCCCCACCCCAGCCAGCCTCTCTCCTGCACTGCTCTAGCTCCTGGGCCAGCAGGGTCCCCAAGGCCACAGTGTAGGGCTGTGTCTTGCCTCAACAGCTCCAGATATGTTCCTTGTATCCGAAGAATTATTTACTGTGGGGATGTGCAATGCCTTTTTAAGAGAACAGATGGTACCTCCAATTAGAATGCCTTAAAAGGAAACCCTAATGAGATTATAAAAGCCAACAAATTGACTTTTTCATACAGTACTTCCCTGGCACACAATAAATCAAATATATAAT